GTGGCTGCGCATGCCCTGTTATGCACTGGGCCATGGGTGACCGCCACACCTACACAAGGAGTTATATGACAACAGAATTAGAAATTGAGGTTAATAAAAACCTTTTTGCTTCTTTGCACTGTGCTCTTATTCATATGCCAGACCTCTGGATGTCCTTGGCTCATAAAAAAGGATTTGCCAGAAGGGTTGGATTGTGTTTAGGCTGACTGTTTATTAATTGTTGTAATTAATCAAAGTGGTAGCAGCTCACCTGCTTCTGAAATGTATGGAAAATGTCTTGCAGCAACATAGAAGGACCAATAGTTCTTGAACTGAAGCACCAGAGATTTTCACAAGATTGACCAGAATAAAGATTGGACTTAATTTAGGTTTAAATTTAAATTTATTGGGGAAGAATGTGTCAGACTGCTAATCTGTACTCTTTACTGAAAACATGTATTGAAAGACCTGAACTGATTGTCAATTTTTGGTGGAGCACAATCTAAGAATTTAGGCCTTAACTATTAAAGGATTATCTTGAAATAAACCCGCTAAGCATCGTCCCTCTAATGATGCCGTCGCTCTTTGAGTTGGCCCCGAATTCTCAAAAGGATTGGGTCTTCTCCCATGGAATTCACTCTCTTGAAATTCTACCCCCTATTCCAGCAGAAGAATCACATTTTCTTTTTAGCTAGGCTTTTTTTTAATGTTTAAATTGGTTTATAATTTATATTAACTGATTTTATAAAAGTTTAATTATTTATGTTTTGTCTGTTATTGTTAGTGTGTCATCCTTGCCCAGGGACCATGCTAATCTTCCCTGTGCCAATTTGGCTATGTGCTGCCAAAGTGAGCACATTTTATTTTGTCAGCCACTTTAAATGCCCTTTGGATAGAAAGGTAAGGTGAGGTGTAAATTGAATGCCTAAATTAAGTATATTGTAACTGTGAGCCGACAAATGCGCGCACGACAAAAGCGCGTCGACAAAACCACGGTGAGAAAACTGCGACGTCATAAACGTGCTCACAACGCGCCGACAAAACCGTGATTTAACTTAAGGTAAGGGTTATGATTAGGTTTACGGTTAGGTTCAGGGTTAGGTTTAGGGTTATTAGGTTGTTATTACTTGTTTGTTGAAGGCGCGCTTTTGTCGGTGCATTTTTGTCAGCGCGCTTCTGCACTCATTCGTCGGCACAATTTAGAACTCGCGGTTTTCTCGCCGTGGTTTCGTCGAGCATGCATTTGTCGGTGAACCTATTGTAACAAAGTATCAAAATTTTACCTGTCTAGATGGAAGGCTGCCACCTCTGCATTGTGTCTGTCATAGCCAGCATATGGCTCTCCTTCTATTACATAGTCTCTGGGATATCTAAAAATTATGAAAAGATAAGTGATTATTTGACTAATGGATTTGATTTCAGATTAAAGAAGAATCCTCGGTAAACTACCACTCTTCTTCACCCCAAGTAGTAATGAGAATAAAGTAATTCTGAATAAACTTTTCTCAGTGCCAAATCTTCTAACAATTAGTTGTACTTCCACATATAGAAGGAAATATCTCACAAACACTTCCATTCCAGAGGCACAGACCAGTGGTGG